ACCAACCACCTTGCAAAAAGCACTCGTCTCCATTTGTAACACCGCCATAATAAAGGTTGGTAACCCCTGAGGATCCTTCATGCGGATCACCTCTTTCATCTCCACGTTTAAGCCATTGTAGGAAATACGTTCCAAGTGGTGATCAGCCAAATCAGGAACTTGAGCTGATAGTTCTTCGAATTCAGAAACATAATCTGTCACAGTACCAGTTTGTTTGATAGCAAACAACCGTGTTTCTGGTTCCTCATCGATAGAATCAGAGAAACGCACCAATAATCTCTGTTTAAACTCCCTCCAACAACGAAAGCCACCACGACGCATCACCCACGCGTACCACTTCTTCAGAGCCCCTTGTAAACACAAAGGAACCAAATCCAACTTCGCTTCATCACCATACCTCCTCAAATTATAGAAATACTCCAAATCCGTATTCTATTCTAGTACTTTAGTACCAACACACACAGGCATATCTACCTTCTTAATCATACTCGCACGGTTATCTAAGTTCAAATCATCAGATCGATAACGAATTACTCCAGTGACGGTCCAAAAGAAGAGATCGAACCTGAGAACTCGGTTTAGAAGAACCAGAAAGTTGTTCATTCTCCTGAATCGGCATTTTCCCCACTAATTTCAACACCGCTTGCACCGAAGAAGCCAAATTCGTTATCGCAGATTCCATCGACGTCATCTTCCCGTCCATCGATAACATCCGAGCTTCCACCGCCGCGATAGCCGCGTTTGCTACACCTTGTTCCTTATTCAAACGAAATAACGCTCCCGAAAGAAATTCCACCTGACCTTCCAATCCCAAACCACACAGATCTTCCTCATCGGTGATGTTAGAACACATCGGAGAACCACTAGTCGACATCTGAATCGTCGTATCCGAACTTTTCACCGCACCAATGATAGATTTTAGAAATACGAAACTGATAAGGGTTTTTATGCCTTAGAGCAAGTCGATTGTAGTATTTTAGATTGTCGAACCACAGGGAACTAGTGATCTAAGCACTAAGAGTACACAAACTTTCCTAATCTAAGCATATAGAGATACTTTAGGGTTTTTGGGGTCTAAAAGTATATATAGGAAGTCCAAATTCGTCATGGTTCAATTGAATTAAACCGGGTCAAACCGGTTTAAACCGGTCAACTCTGTGATCTAGACTTCACCGCGGCCAAGTAGCACCCGCGGCGCGCCTCCGCGGTACTCCCTGGAGCTCACTGCCCAGAAACCGCGGGTCACTCCAAGCCGCGTCACCGGTCCGCCGTCCTCTCCATCACAGCTCCAAGTCGGAACTCTCCTCCACGAAATCCAAAGGTTGAGAAGCATGGTTCGTCGTCTTTGTCTTCTCCATCTCGTCTCAGAACTTCACCGCGACCAAGCCCTCCACCATGGGATCTCTCGTCGTGGCTGTGCTCTTCGTCGTGCTCTGCTCCACCGTGGCCGTGCTCACAAAGAGTCGCCGTCGGGATTGCCGCGATCTACAGCCAAGAGAAGCCCTCATGAGCTCCAATGGCTTTTTGCCCTTTTTGCAAGTCTGATCCTTCATCTCTTATGGAGTTTTGTTTCTGCCCCACATATTTTTTAACTTTCAGATTAGTCCTCTCCAATCAATCTGTAACTTTTGATTGTGCAATCTAACCCAGCCAAATATAGAAAAATTGCAGCTTTGGTCCCTAACTTCTTGATAACTTCGTTTCTGACCCCAAACTTCCATAATGTGCCATTTAATCCATAAATTTCTCCATAAACTTTCACGATGTGCATTCCAGCCCCTAATGCATACAAATGAACATATATGCAATCTAGACAACTAAATGCAACTCAAAACACTAATATGATTAAGAAAAAGATGTTAAAAACTATTAAAAACACTACATATCAGAAACTCTGTAAAATCTCTTCTCAATATGTACAATGAAATGTGCTTTACAATGTTCGATCAAATCTACAATCTCATGACTATTGCAAACAGATCCTCAATCTCATAATGATTAAGAGCTAAGACTCATAGCGTCTAGCAAATACAACATCAAAAGCATAAAGTTCTAAAATATCTTCTCTCTTTATTTAAAGTCTCCAACGGCTTTCCTTCTCTTCACTCAGTCTAAAGGCAAAGCCTCTAGCTCCCTCCGAGTGTTTTGAATCCGTTTGTCTCCACCAGACCTGTTCAGGAGGTCAGTTTCTTCCCAAGCTCTATCAGATCTGGTCCAGTCCATGGCTCCTTTTTCGAGTCAGCTCTTTCGCTTCTCTCTTGTCATCCAAAGTCTCTATCTCAACTCGAGTCTTCGTCGTATCTTCATTAACCTTCAGAGACTCTCTCTCTCTCTCCCGAAGTCTTTCTCATTTCATCATTAACATCCAAAGCCTCCATTTCAACTCGAATGTCTTCCATATCCTCCTTATTCTTTAACATTTTTCTCACATATGCTCGTTGGAACTTATCAATATGTCGCAGAGAAACCCTCCAAGTAAATTAGAAGACACCATCGTTTCAAGGTTCCATTTTTAGTGGAAATGGAGGAGAGAACATCAAATCTCTGTATTTCCTCTTAGCTACCCTGTGAAGAAGAGGAATTTTCTTCGTTCTCAGAGAGACTTTCTTCATCTTCTTCTTGAAAACCATCATTCTCCTTGGGCACATATTTGATATTCTCTACCTCAGAGTAATGATCTCCACTTTCATTTTTTGATCCACTTGTAGAACCGTCATCTCCTCAACTTGCCTCTGGCGTATCTCCAAAAACCTTATAGACATTCCCATTTTCATTGAAGCTCATTTTTTGGACAACACCTCTTCTACTTGTTGAACTACTTTGAACTCCATTATCACCAGACATTGTCATGATTTCCTCTGCATTGGAAGTCAGATCATAAACCGGGGTCTTAACTGATTCAACACCAAACTTTGAAGCACCAACAGGAAAAATTGAGACCTCTTGACTGACCATCGTCAGTGAAACTCTTTAAGCTCAGCAATGTTCTCCTCGTCATTATTAGAACTCGCGTAAACCCGTCTTATATGTTTCTTCAACTTCTCAGTGGATCTATCTTCTCCTAAATGATTAGCCGCCCCAAAGCTCACATCTTTCACAGATTAAGATACAACATTACGTCTTCTTGCCAGAGCACAATCTTCAAATAACCTCGCCAAATCTCTACACAATGTTTGTTTCCCACCCTTGATGGAATCCAATCGCAGAAGAAAAAATGAGTAGCTTCTCGAGAGATAGCTTCGAAAGGGAAATGGGTTTTACCATAAACCAAAGATCTAAGAGATGAGAATCTTGATTCGATCCTTGTGAGCTCCTTGATTTTCCTGAGTAAAATGGATCTGTGAACCAGGTAAGACCGGAAATGGGTCTGAATCAAATGTGCCGCTGAGTCCTTCAGTGTAGAGTAAGAGTCGCGACGAGCCGAAAATCGACTGAGCAAAATTTCGAGATCATTAATCTTCCGGAGCAGATTGTTGTATCCCCGTTGAGCATTCTGTTGGCTAACGAAACGTTTCCATGTCACAGAGTTGAAACTCGTACACGCAGTTTCTTCGCAGCAAGGTTGTGTTTGTTTTGGAGATAGGAAGCGATGAGACAAAGAAGATATCTAGATTTGGTGGTGAGCATTAGGTACAACAAGGACTAGAATCTGTACAGAAACAGGCTGATGACGTGGTATAGTAAGCAGGTATATGAGGACTGCTCTCACGGTGGCTATGGTGGTGAAGACGGCGGCGGTCACAGTTGTGGTGGTGGTGAGACGCCATAGATTCTAAAGAGAGAAATAGCTTGTGAAAGGGCTTTGACTATTGGGCCTTAGAAGAAATATAACTGACAACTGCAGAACGACCCTCAAAGCAATCATTGTTTATTAGATATCTATAGACTAGTTCAGAAAATTGGAAGACAATATTTTCCATCTATAAGAAACTAATAAAAAAAAAGAATTAGAAGCTAATTCATTGATAATTAAATTTCGTCACATATTTAATCTTTCAACGTAATTAATAAATACTAGAATTTTTAACACTAAAATAATAACAAAAATAGAATCACAATGATATTTAATTTATATTTTTAGTTTTAACACACACAATTTATAACTTAGTATTTATAAAAATTAAACCTTGAAAAATACAATTTTAAGCTACAATAATAAGAAACAAATAACATTATGTCGGATTTATACTTTAATTTAACACACAAAAGTACACAAAAAAATAGGTGAATAGCAAAATCTTACCAATTTTGGCAGTTTGCAGTCTTATGACTTATGGGAAGACTTCTCGAGAATCTTCCGGTGAAGTTTACTAATGAAGTCCGAAGTACAATATTGTTCACGGATTTGAAAACTTGCATATCCAAAAATATTAAAATGACTTTAAAAACAAAGAAAATATTTAATAAAAAACTTTTAACGCTCAAATAATAAATAAAACAATCACATTAGGTTGAAGCTATAGCTTTTCTGAATCTAACATGTAAAACACACAAAAAGGCATATTCAAAATTTTGTAGATCTACTTTTAAAGAAGTGATTACATATTGTATTTGTCATAAGGAGATGAATGTAATTTAACTACTATTTTGGGTTAGTTTTCATTTGATTAAATTTGAGATTTTTTTTTTTTTTTTAAGTTTAGATCAGTTTTGAAAAATTCCCCTATATTATATTCAACATGATAAAATTAGATATATTTGTAAAAACATGATTTGTATTTATTAGTTACAAACTGAAAAGAGAAAAGAAAAGAAAGCTGATTTTATTTAATATTCTTATCAGTTTAAAATATAACCTAAATACTTGCTGTCAATGATTTTGTCATGAATAATGTGATGAATTAGATGTAGTTGCTATATGGAATATATCTTAGTCAAATATTTTATGGTCATACTCATATATACAATGTATACATGACTTTTATTCACGTTAATATAGGAAGTAAAAAGGGAGGTTATTTTTTCTTTTTTTTTGTCAACGATTATATTAAATAAAAGGTCTAAGCGATTACATCCGGAGCTAAGCTCAACAGTAAGAAGATAATAACCGGAGGTATCCTCGACGGTTTGATGAACATAATGCAGAAACAGAACAACATAAAAAGAGATAACAAGTGAACAAGAGATACTTGCTCGACAAAAGGAGAACCGTAGGATATCATCAGATGCATCCCTGAATAGGTTACTACCACAAACACTGAATAGTCGGAATCGACGTTGAGTTGACCAAACAGCAAAGTTTGGCATGAGGCGGAACGAGCAAGACAAGCTCTAGCTCCGATGAGAAGGTTTCTCGAAGAGACTCGGTGAATCTCAACAGAAGTTGCAGTTACAAGAAACCTGGATTTGGCGCTGACGAGCAAAAAGGATGAACCATGGAACCGAGTAGTGCTAGTTACAAGAACAAAGCAACTATACATTTGACGGTTATAAAAAATTAAAATTCGTGATGTTAGAAAAAACGAATTGAAAATTTGTAGTAGGTATCAAACACTATTAAAAGGGCATAATAAAGCCTCTTGAGAGTGTTCACATGTGCAGAAATATTTATCCAATCAGAGTGCTTCAAACATCCACGTCATGTTTTGTTTGGACATGTCAAACCGGATTCTATTTCGGTTCTGTACGAAATTCAAATGTCAAGATTTAATCTTCTCAAACCCGGTTTGGTTCGGCAATTATAATTCGATTTAATTGACCGGTGCGGATAAATCTACAAAATCCATATCATCTCTCCCCTTTCGACTTCCTCAACTGCGTTAACTTCACTTTAGTTTTTTCCAGTAATCTAACCCACTCTCTGTTCTAATCAATTCTCTTCTTCAATCTAATCAATCCTTCAGTTCATGTCATTCAATGGATTCATCCCTTCACCTTGCTCCCCAACTTTGTATTTATAGGTCTCCACTCTTTGCTTATGTTTCGATTAAACTGATTAGAGCCTCTACTCTCTCTCACAAAAATTTCCGATGGAACCCAAAGTAAATCTTCAGTCCCTACCGGCGAGAAGACCAACAAGAAGATGCTCTCATCCTCCTCGACTTCTCAACAAAAGGGGGATTCTTCTGCTTCCACCGGGATTGTCTTCAAGCCTCACGGGAAGGCTCATGTTTCGTCGCCCTCTCCGATGACACCAAAAGCTACTACGGCTATCCAATCCCCCCCATTGCCGATCAAGTGATGCTCTTCAGAATATGGTGAGTGTTTAAGCTGTCCACGTCAGTTTGAAAATTCAGGCCAATCAGCTGTAAGATATTTGCCATGTCAGTTTAACCTAATTACTTCTTCCTGGTGAATTTGTCGATCCACATCCTCCGTTCTCTTTAACAAAAATCGTCTGTTCACTCTCCCTCACTCTCTGTGTAATGTTTATTGCTTGATTATAACTGTTGATTGTTTGTCTTCCTCTTCAGTTAATTGAGTACTCAAAAATACTGAGACAATTAAATAAAAATTGGGTGACGAGAGTTCGAAGCAATGAACAAGAGAGATGGCGCCGCCGGCGACGTTGCCATGTGTAGGAGATGGGTTATACCCCTCCACAAGGCCCATCAAATGGAGAAACTTAGCCCAACACGGCAATATACTCGGCCCATTAAACATATAAGAAACGCCTCAGCACGAGGACGTGTTTAGTAGCGCGACTAAGAGTGTTCTGGAAGAGTCGGCGGAAGTACGATTTACCCGGACTACTAAATAAGCCCAACAAGGCTCGGGTAAACTAGGGCGAACACGAAGATAAGGTCTATAAAAAGGAGAGAGGAAACAAGGAGAAGGGGATCCGGACTTGGACATACTCACTAAGCGGCTAGATCTAGGGTTTCATAGAGACTAGGTGGTTAGATCTAGGGTTTGCTTACCTTCACCGTTACTCACCACTTTGTAGTCTTCCGGTCTGCTCTCCGAGCTCCGGCTAGATCGCCTCTTTACTCACCTCCTTGTAATCTCTTGTTAGATCTAATAAAGAGCGTCTTTGTTCGCCCCAATCTCTCTCTTTATATTGTTCTTGACCATTTTCACCTCAAACAATTTGGCGCCCACCGTGGGGCCCTGAACAAAGCAACGTTACCAGATCTAGACATGCCAGACGACGGAACCGTCTCCGGAACCGCCGGGGAGGAGCCGACTCAGACTCCCGCACCCGAAACACCCCTTCCGCCCAACTTCATGAGCTCTGTCATGGCCCGTTTCGCTAGACAAGACGAGATCCAAAAGGAGACTCACGCGCAACTCGCCGCGCTCGTCGCAGCGTTAACAGCAGCTCCCGCCGGGCAGACGAGTAACTCTCAACCGTTCCGACGTCATCTCTTCAACACTAACCCGACAGCGCCGGTAGCCGACCATACCTCAGAAGAGTCGGAACCCACCAAGCCGCACGCTGCAGAAACAGCTCAAGTCGGTCCAGATCTAACGACTGTCCGTGAAATCGCCGAGCTCAAACTCAACCTCCAACAGATGAGCTCCACGATTCACAAGGTTACTAGCGCCGCTCCGCAAATCGAAAGCGTCCTCGCTTCAACCGAGCGCACCCCATTTACCAGTACGTTGACTAACGTAAACTTCCGCAAGATCGAGAAGCTGCGTGTCCCGCAATACAAGCCCGGCGGCGACCCTGTAGAACATATGACGGCTTTCAACATCGCGATGGCCCGAGCACGACTACCCGACGACAAAAAGGACACCGCATACTGTCAGATGTTCGTGGAAACACTCCACGACCAAGCCTTGACCTGGTTCTCAGGCCTCAAGGAGAACTCCATCAGCAGCTTTAGAGAGCTTTCGTCAGCTTTCCTCAAAACCTACATCATGTTCACTAAGCGCGAAGCGACAGCCTCCAGCTTGTGGAACCTAAAGCAGACTAAAGACCAAAGTCTCCGAGACTTTATGGAGCGCTTCAAGTCGATCGTCTCAAAGATCGACATCCCTGACCACATAGCCGTCGACGCTTTGATGAACACCCTCCATCTCGATTCCAAGTTCCGAGAGGACCTATACCGAAGCACCTCCACGACGCTCCAGGATGCCATTGCTCGTTCACACAACTTCATCCGCATGGAGGAAGAAACGAAAGCAATCATGGGCAAACATAACGCAGCAAAGCCGACAACGCCCAAGACCTCCGACGCAAAGCCGGAGCCGCGTCAACACGCTTCCGGCGACAAGAAACAACAAAAAAGCGGGCTTCTGTTTGTCGTTGACGAGAATAACACACCAGTATCAAGTTTCTCAGTACGTGGCGAGCCATGGAACGTGTACAACCGAGAAACGGCAGCCCTAAAAGGTTTGGCTAGTCCTGCCGGACCGACTCAACCCGCGTCGCCGGCTACCTCAAGGGCATGATCTTCTAAAGGAGTCGACCTCACCAAACACTGCAAGTACCATGACGTCAAAGGACACGATACTACAGAGTGTAGGACGATGTACGCTTAATTTCTCTCATCGGTTGAAAAAGGCGACTTCAAGGTTCAGCCTCCAAAGCAAAAATCAAAATCCGGCAAGAGTTGGTCTAAGAACAAAGACAAACGCGCGCAGCGAAAGTCCGGTGGTAAAAATGGAGAGCAACGTCGTGCAGACGACAAACCTTTGGATGACGCGGATAACGAAGCTTCTTCAGCAGACGAGGGGCAACCAGCAAGTCGTCAACGTATTGAAGTAATACGATCTCAGCAACCGTTGTCGTCTGACGACGAGGACGATAACTCACCAGTGTCAAGCGACCTGCGAAGCTTCCTCAAGCGAAAGGTGACGACATGCAGTGACGTCAACAGCGAAGATCTTCGCCTCATGCTCCAAGCCAACAAGTCGCGACGCCTGGAAACCGAAGAGCCTCCCTTGTCGGTCGACAAGCCCGTCACAGATCTGCGTGACAAACTCAACGCTAACTTGACCGATTTACGCGCGCGGCTAAACCGTTCCAAATCAATAAGTCGACGGCTAGAGCGGTCAACTGCGTCCCATACCGTGGAACCATCAAAGCCGAGCGACCATAACGTCCCTGCGGATCTTCGTACATTCTTAGACATCAAACGAGTAACCGCGAAACCACGGCTGAACGTCATCATGGCCGCACCTCCCTGTGGCGACTCCGTCCGCTCTGTCAAAGACTACCGGCGCCAAGCCGCGTCCTCGAGACGTTGGCCTGCGAAACCGCCGAGCCACATGCCAATCAGCTTTTCCCCCGACGATTTGAACGGAGTCCATTTTCCCCACAACGATCCTCTGCTAGTCGTCCTTGAGATCGGTAAGTACGATGTAACCAAAGTACTAATCGACACATGAAGCTCAGTTGATCTCATCTTTCGTGATACGCTTGAGAAGATGGGGGTAGATTTCGACGACGTCAAATCGTCCTCACGAACTTTGACCGGCTTCAACGGCTCATCGGAAACCGTCCTAGGGACGATCCGTCTCCCAATCCGCACATGCGGAGTTACTCGAACGGTTAAGTTCGCCGTGGTAAACACCAAAGCCTCTTACCATGTCATTCTCGGAACCCCATGGATACATTCGATGCAGGCAGTTCCATCAACCTACCACCAATGCATCAAGTTCCCTGGGGTGGACAGAACAATCAAGACTGTACGCGGAGATCAGCAAGCCGCTCGAGACCTACTGATCGCCACAGTCAAGCTGCAACGTTCATCATCCCTAGTCAACTCTGTCTCTCACCCGATCGCTCAAACTTTCCCTCAAAAAGACGAGGTTCTGGAGATGCCTATAGACGATTCTGATCCAAGTAAGACGGTGCGTGTCGGTGCACATCTAGCCGACGACATGCAGCGAGCACTACTCACATTCCTGAAGGAAAATGTGTTCACCTTCGCTTGGTCCATGACGGACATGAAAGGAATCGATCCAGCAATAACTACCCACGAGCTCAACGTCGACCCCACTTTCAAGCCTATCCGCCAGAAAAGACGTAAGCTAGGCCCGGAAAGAGCGAAAGCAGTGAACGAGGATGTCGAACGACTACTCGGAGCTGGCTCTATCACAGAAGTCGGTTACCCGGAATGGCTAGCGAATCCTGTGGTAGTCAAGAAAAAGAACGGGAAATGGCGCGTCTGCGTCAACTTCACTGATCTTAACAAAGCCTGTCCGAAGGATAGTTACCCGTTACCCAGCATCGACCGCCTCGTAGAATCAACCGCGGGAAACGAGATGTTCACCTTCATGGATGCGTTCTCGGGCTACAATCAGATTATGATGCACCCCGATGATCGCGAGATGACAGCGTTCATCACAGACCGAGGAACATACTGTTATAAAGTCATGCCATTCGGGTTGAAGAATGCCGGTGCTACCTACCAGCGACTCGTCAACCGCATGTTCGCCGACAAACTCGGTAGCACCATGGAAGTTTATATCGACGATATGCTCGTTAAGTCGCTTCACGCCAAAGATCACCTTAACCATTTACGCG